CAAAGGAAGGAAGCCTGGATTCTTGAAGGTCTGAAGTCTGGTAAATGCTCCCTGTTGAGAGACACAGCCGTCACCAGCCCTTCCTCCTCTTCGTGTCTTGCTGAGTGTGCCAAGAATGGAAAGGCCCTGACCATTCTTAAAGTTGTGTGTGTAGTGATCAACCTTGAATGGTGAGACAATGTCTCCCTTGAGACAAAAAGCAGAATTGCTTACTTCTAGCTATAAAAGCTCAGAGCTCTCCTCTCCTTCCTCTCCTGAAACACAATTCGATGCTGTGCAGGAAGCATCTGGGCCCTCAGTAAAACTCCCTCCCCTCCATTCCATGGGGTTAATTGGCAAGGTGGGAACTGACACAAGATGCAATGCTCATACTGCTCTCTCTACCAAGTTTAGTAAGATCCTTTGTCTCTGACCCAGGTCTCTTGTGTCTTCTGCCAGCACCCATGAAAGAATAAAAGGCAAACCTTGTAAGTGGGGTAAAATAAAATCCCAGGCCCAAGGCTGGCCCCGACGCTTTTTGGTTCCATTAAAAATTCTCCCTTGAGGCTATGGCATCTGTGCTGAGGGTGGGGTGTTTGTGAGCATGGCGAGGACAGATGCCATAGAAAAAATAACCTACAACACTCAGGTCTACAATGAAAAAGAAAGAGCAAAGTGATGTGAACTCTTCTTCCCAGGAAACTAGTAAAAGAGGCAACAGCATAGCCTGGGGAGCATACCACGGACCACATCAGTGGTGTCTGCTGTTCCAAAAGACGTACTCTCTGCATATAGAGAATGATAAACTCTTGTTATCACCAGCTCTCAAGCAAAGAGCTATTCTGAAGCAGTTAAAATCTCTGTAATCATGAGATGGGCCACCCTTGACAAGCACCAGGTGGTAAACTGCGGGTCCAAGCCCACATCCAGATGCAGATAGGAAGCCAGTGCTTGATTGACCTGGTTGAATTTTGGCATGGAGATCTTACTGAACCCTGTCCACCAAGTAACCAGGAAGAAACTGACTGTGTTCCTCTCTGGGGTGATCATGCATTTAGCATAGAATGAAAAACTGGACAGCCCCAGGGTATTTTAATCTAGGAAAAGTTTGGGCATTTGTACTCAAACTCTCTGTTTTGGAACTTGCTAAAATTAAATTCTTTCAGTCTCTTTTATATCAGATTTAAAAGTTCCTGAGATGAGCCAAAAACATCTAGAGCTTACTTATAAAGGTACCCTAGGATGTCTAAATTTAATGTGATATAAAACTACAACTGAAATAAATTACATGTGAATATGCGATGTCTTATATGACTTAGTTCTTGTGTGACTCAGACAATATTATGAACTATAGAAAATGCTCCAAGTCAACTTTTTGGGTAGTTTTTTAAAATCTCTGATCATTCTTGATATTATTTGGATTGTATTGTTGGATATTTTTTAATTGGTTTTGGAAAGTTAGACTAATAAAATACTGAGTTAATGAACATTAATACTTCTATTTCATTCCAGATCACATATGGGATTCTACTTGTATGAAATTTTGAGATAGTGTTTGGTGTTCCCCTAGAGGGAAGCTAGAGTTTTGTTTTTCCTTTCAGGCAGCTGGGACTCCAGTGAAATTGGCAAGAGGGTAGTTTGGACTTATATATTCAGGAACCAATTCTAGATGTCTGGCCAGAGGGTAATGAAGAAAACACATGTTTTAATAGAGCAATATATAGCATAGCATATTAAAGTCTGTTACAGAGGAAGAAAATTAATACATTTTCCTATAAGAGCAAGATAACAAGACACCTAATTATATCAAATATTAACATGGCCTTAGGAAATTTTCTTTTACTCTACTATGAAAGAAGTTCTTCCCAAGTGCTCATGTGAAACAATTGAATATATGTTCCTAGCACATTGTCTTGGCACCTACTGCTATTTTCCCACTTTTTTTTTTTTTTTTGAGTTGGAGTCTCACTCTGTCACCCAGACTGGAGTGCAGTGGCCGCTCCCGGCCACTGCAGCCTCGACCTGCTGAGCTCCCGCAATCCTTCTGCCTCAGCCTTCCAAGTAGCTGGAACTACAGGCGCGCGCTACCACGCCCGGCTAATTTTTTTATTTATTGTAGAGATGAGGGCTCGCCAAGTTGCCCAGGTGGGTCTCGAACCCACAGGTACAGGCAATTCACTCACCTCGGCCTCCCAAAGCATGGTATTATAAGCTGAGCCACCAAGCCCGGCCTCTGAGATGATTTTAGTTCCTAATTTTCCTCAGAGATACATATATATCTGCCTTATCTCTGAGGTGCGCCCCTAGGCTCTCTATTTTTGGATATCAGACTATGGTCAAGCCTTTTTTATGTTGAATTCATGAACAAATTTATCTTGCTTGAGGAGTAAGTAAACATATATATGTATATATTTTAAAAAATTTAATTGATGTGGTATCACTCTGTTACCCAGGCTAGAGTGCAGTAGCATGATAATAGCTCATTGCAGCCTTGAACTCTTGGGCTCAAGTGATCCTCCTGACTCAGTCTACCAAATAGCTGGGAGAACTCATATATATATATATATATATTTTTTGAGTTGGAGTCTCACTCTGTTGCCCAGACTGGAGTGCAGTGGCCACTTCTGGTCACCGCAGCCTCGACCTGCTGGGCTCCGGCGATCCTTCCGCTCAGCCTTCCAAGTAGCTGGAACTACAGGTGCGCGCTACCACGCCCGGCTAATGTTTTAATTTATTGTAGAGATGAGGTCTCGCCAAGTTGCCCAGGCAGGTCTCGAACCCATGGGCTCAAGCAATCCATTCACCTCAGCCTCCCAAAGCGCGGGATTACAGGCTGAGCCACCGAGCCCGGCTGATCTCAAATATATTATAATTAATTTCCCTCTGAAAAACAAGCAAACAAACAAACAAAAACCCATGTTATCAGTTTTTAATTTTTAGTGATACTTCTTCAGTTAAAACTTCCCTATCTACCCATAACCACAGAACTGGAATTGAACCTTAAATGTCCAATGGGTGGTGACCTCATTACAGTTGAATAAGCTCGCCTTCTTGCTGTTCAGCTGTTTATAGACTTTATTAATATTGTTAGGGCACCTTTCTCTGAGAGCATCCCATTTTTTATATCAATTTCCAAAAACTGCTATATCTTCTCCATGAGACATTTTTTTATC